GTCCCTCAAATTTCAGAAAGAGGGTGGGGAAATATGCATCTACTCGCTGACGTGGATGACATGGAAAGGGTTGGGCCACATATTTAGGATTTTTTGTTACGGCGGAAGAGGAACTTCCGAACCTACGCTTTCTAGTGACCTTCGTCTCTACCTGCACACAGTTTACCAGTTCGCAGCCCAGGCAGAAGACATATTGCGCTAACACAGAAATCGTCTCCACATTTACCCACGTGTCATCATCTCGGAAGCCACTGCTGCTGCTACTCAGGCAAACGATGCACAGCAGTATTTTATATGTTTATCCGCACTAAACTAAATCCCTCTCGGCTGGCAAGTGATAAGGGGCATCAACCCTAAACACCTTGCAACTAAGTTTTTAGGGTTGATGCCAAAACTATATCCCTCTTGGCCGGCATGTTGATAAAGGGCATCAACCCTAAACAGCTTGTCGCGGGGTGTTTAGGGTTGATGCTCTTGAAAACTTGCCACCCGAGAGGGGTTTGATTTTGTGCTGGCTGGCAGAAGACAGCCGATGAAAACAGTGCTTGCGTGACGTGCGGAGAAGCCGAGTTCTGAGTTAGCACAATAACTCTTCCGCCTCAGAAGCGGATCAGCTGAAAGTGTGCGCAAGTTGAAATGAAAGTCACTCGAAAGAGGGACATCTACAGTAAGCCTTCCTGGAAAACTAAAAACCCACATATTTACGATTGTGGGCAACATGAGTTTCATCTTCGCCATAAGCCATCAATTCAGGTTTCAATATTGCAATGCTATATTTCTGTCTATATAATTCCTGCTACTGATATCCAATCTGCTAAAGCCAGTTGATGACATGCTTCACAAAATATGTATTTCCTGTGATCTGATGCATTACTTCACCATAATTCATGGATCAATAATTGTTACAACATAACTTTCTGATTGTGGGGAACATGAGCTCTATCTTGCAATCCTGGTGTCATATTGCAATGCTATATTTTTCTGTCTAAATATTCCTGCTACCTGTATCCACATGTGCTAGAACCAGTTGATGACATGCGTCACCGAAGATGTCGTTCCTGTGCTTTGATTCATTACGGTATGTCACCATGAATGATAAACAAAATAGCTATCCACATTATACCTGCTAATTTACACTAATCTTGCTAGTTGACCCTACATAGCCACCTGCTTCACCTCCAGCTGCTCCCACAATGTATCAATCGAACACAAGATCTCAACGTCAGTTGGATCAAGATCTACCTTCTGGGCTTCAAAAGTGAGGGGAGTGCATGGAGATGGATAGTCTAAAGAGAGCCATGGAGACTGGCAATGCAGCAAGTCATCTACCCCACCAGCAGGTTCGTTCAGGTCCGGAATGACGGCTCTGGGATCTGGTTGTTGATGAACGACGTCGTCGGACAATGAAAGGCGGATGGTCTCGTTGCAATCAACTCGATTACTAATATTGGAAAGTAGCTCGGAGCTCGCCCTTGCTGCTCTCGTTGAGTGCAGAGCAACCTGTGAGAACCATGGTTATCATGAACGCAGCCTCCTTTGAAAGGAGAATGCATTGCACGGTTTGATAGTCCTGGAAGAACGTGGTACAACGATCAGATCTCTATGTTTCGAAGGTACAACTGTTGCGGCTATTATCAACCAATCCGCTTGCATTGAAATGCCGTCGAGCAGTGCTGCCCGTCCGTTCGGTCCCAAAATTTCAGGTCAGATGAATACAAAATCGAGATAAGGCGAGGTGCATGAGGGTTCACAGAGCCTCTCGAAAAGTGGTTCTGATGAAGGGTACAAGCGGTATAGCGCATCTTCAAAACGGTACTACGGTATATCCTGGTTTTCATGCTTGCTCGAACACCTCTTGATTTGAGATCTGCCACACCTTCTAGAAGAACCGCAGGGTTTAGGGTTCCGTACAGCAGGCCTGAGGATTCAAAAATAGTTGAAAAGGACACTACCAGAGAGAATATTGGGATCTTCAGCGGTCTCGCAAGATCTCCAACTGCTCCAGCGCTGTAAAAGTGTAATCGATCTGCCGTTAGTTCCTCCCCGCTACGCCCTGCTCTCCCAGCTTGCACTATCTTGTCTTGCTTGAGCTGGTGAAGGCAAGGCGAGTTAGGAGGAGGAGGTGTGATGTGATGTGATGTGAGAAGGAGGAGATCCACATGTCACTGTTCGATCACAATTTTGATGCGTGAGAAGGATATCCGACTGTCGCATGTTTACCTCTGTATTGACACTATAGTAAATGTACAATGGATACAAGGCAAATCCAGAGACGTAGTGTATGGAGAGACATGCAGGCTAATCCTATTGTGAGGCCTACAAATAGGCCTCTGTGATGTCTCAATGGTCCTCTCCCAAGTAGGCAAAGTCAGCTGCACAAAGAGAAGTCACCTCGGGTGGTGCGTGGTTGACGCCCTCGGTAAAACGAATTTGTGCACGACGACAAACAGTGCGAGCCTGCTCACGTTGATGGACCATAGAAATCCGTTTGTAGAAGTTGGTCTCAAACAGCTGGGGAAGAGAATCTGTGGCACCACTCAAGTCGCGGAGTTGTGACGCCCCTTTGCGGCTGCATTGGCGAAGGAAGTTGTTGAACGAAGAGCCGAAGCAACCAAAGGTTTCGATGACAAGGGGAAACAGTTTGATGTCTGGACGGTCACGAAGTGCTGCAGCATAGTGGGTGGTCTTCTCACTTTCACGAGTGGCTGCTGCTGAACCAATCACCGTAGCTGCGTTGGAGTGCGGAAACCCCTTTTGTGGATCAGCAACAGAAACATCCAAGGCCCAGGTGGTACCAGAGCTAATATCGCGGCAAGTGATGTCTGTGCGGCGGCCAGGCAGGAGATGCTGGTCTTCCATTTGCGCAGAGAACCCAAGCTCCAAGGCAATGCGATGAACTTCTCGTTTGATTGCGTCGTGCACCTTAGTAGGCTCGTTGTTGCTAGGGCAGCGAAGGACATGAGAATGGATGGAAGGATCGGTGAACGGGGAGTTGCAGGTGCAGGTGAGTGAAGATGAAAGGTGAGGAAGAGGAAGGCCTAAGCGGATAGCTGCTGCAATGCGCCATTCAGTCTCTGAAAGCTGCATGTGCGGGGAGGATGGAGCCACAGTGAGCCAGTCACCTGCATGCGGGCCCTGCAAAGAGGTTAGACGAGCAAGGCGAAGCGGGGACGTTACTGTGGCTCGAACCTTCTCCAGCAAATCGGCTTCGAGGTGTTGGGAGAGATGAGTAAAGAGTTTAGGAGGGTAGCCCGATTGAAGCACAAGCCATGATGGGAAGCGATCACGAATGTCTTGGGGAAGCATGGTCATGGTGGATGAGATTGAAGGGTCGAGGAGGTTAATGGAGTCCGTGGTGACGTAAGGGCGGAAAAGAGGAGCACCATCAGTGATGAAGTGGGTGGATAAGGTCGAAACTGTCTGCGCCCAGCTACAAAGGTAACTGAGGGGGGCGATGGATGCAGAGCTGCGAATGCCGAAGCCACCTAAGCGGATAGGGAGCGAGGCTTGGAGGAGGGCCGATGTGGACTGTTCAGAGGTGGGATTCCAGTACTCAGAGCCCAGGAGCTGAGAGAAGTGGCTGAAAATGGTGCAGTCCCATGAAGAAAGTAGCTCTTGGATTTCGGGAAAAGGTGCGACAGTTCGGAGGAGGAAAGAAGGTCGGGCAGTGATGCATAAGGAAAGGATCCGTGAGGCAATCTGTGGGTCCTGCAGTTGATGCAGTAAGGGGAGGGAGGAAGTGAAAAAATCGAGTTTGTCACGAACTGTAGAGATGATGTAACCGTCGGAGCCGGTAGGAACGCCAGCGACAGTGAGACCGTTTGCAGCGATGGAAATACCCGGGGGCGGAATGCAGTGTTCGGGCAGGTCCATAGGGGCCCATAGAGAGCACTTAGAGGGTTGGACTGTAAGGCCGAGAGAGAGAAGGCGGGAGGTAAGGTCAGTGTATGCGGCAAAGACGTCTGAGGGAGGGCCGACCAAGTAGGTATCGTCTGCGTATGAGGTAATGAAAATTGAGGGAGACTGCTGCTGGGTTGGTTGGATGGCTAGCTGCTGTGTTAGGGCATAAAGGAAAGGGCCACAAGGGTCGCCTTGACGAACACCAGAAGCTGATTGGAATGTGTGGAGAAGGGGACCGCTGCGGTAGTGGAGAGGTGAAGGGGTGGAGTAGAATAGGCGGAAGAAGGGAATGAGACTGGAGAATGGGGAGCGCCTTAATGCCTCAAACATGGAAACCCGGTTGAACGAGTTGAACGCGTTTGCAACGTCCAGCTGAAGCACCACCCAGTCTGGATGAAGGGAGAAGGCGGAGCACACTGCGTGCGACATAATCTCGATCCCGGCCGGAACTGCTACGCCAAATTGAAGGTGAGGAAGGAATGTCTCTCGCATCTGCTGCTTAAAAAGGAGAGTGATGCAGCGTGAAAGGAGGCGTGGTAGCACTTCCCCAATGGCGATGGGACGTACACCACCATGCGGTTTCTGCAGGGCCACGAGGTTCGAAGCGGTGTAGAAAGGCCTGACTGCGGGCGGAAGGTCACCCTGCAGCCAGTTCTGGAATACGTGGAGGAGAGAAGGGAGATGCTGCTGGTGAGAAAGAAACGTGTCCCTGAGGTGCTCAATGAACCACCCAGAAGGTCCAGCAGCTGTGCCACGGGGGGCGGACTGTAGAGCGGCATGGAGAACAGGGACGGTAAGCTGTGGTGCGGCTGCAGGAGTGAAGGTGTGTACCCAGTCAGGAATCTCTGCTGCAGCAGGTGGGTGCTTGGAGCTGAGGGCAACAACTGTTTCTGATGATGGAGGAGCTAGCTCGCCAGCTTCCAGTGCTGCCAGTGACCGCGACCAATCCCCGCATTTTGCAAACCGCTTCGCACGGTTGAGACGAGCCTGCTGCGCTGTAGAACGTGCTGAAGCCATGTGCAGAGGTCTAGCGGCTGGAGTGGCTGCAGCTACGGCTTCGCTGAAAAGAGAGTGCCAGTCACCAGTGATGAAGCGGCGCGCTAAGGCAGCACATGAAGAGGTAAGGGGCTGTGTGGGAGCAGCGGCAGAAGGTAGGCGCAGTAGGAGACGCGGAAATGCCAAGAGAATGAGGTGTGCAGCGACGTCAGAAGGATGTTGTGCAAGGCGGCGCAGTGGAATGAGAAGTGCATCGAGAATGAGGAGTCGGATGCGGGAGGGGATTCGGCGGAGAATAGGGCCAGGTGAGACTGCCGGGCTGAAGAAGGAAGGCCAATCCCAGGAAGGAACGGCCTCCCAAGTGGCTTGAGGAATTGCAGGTCGATCTGCGGCTGCAGGCGCCGAGGTTGGGGCTGATGAGCGGGGAGGAGGAGGGCGAGCAGCTTGCTGACGTGTGGCGGTGTTGCGAGAGCAGGCTGGAAGGTGACGGGCCAACGAACCTGAGTTGGCAAAGGTGCGTCGACATGTGGGGCAAGAATTAGGAGGTAGTGGGTTATCGGAGGTTGATGAGGGCGGGCAAGGTTGCGGGCATGGCTGCGTAGAGTGAGGGGTAGGGGAAGGAGGAGGGGGATCTCGAGAAGGTGAAGCAACAGTTTCATAGTGTGATAGTGGGTGCGTGTTGTCGGCAGGGGCTGTGGGATTAGGAGCATCTGCTGTAGTCGTCGGTGGAGGTGTTGAGGTAGATGAAGGATGGGCACGGGAAGTCGAGAGCTGAGGGTGAGAGGTTTGAGGCCGTGATGGAGACGGAGAATCAGGAAGGGTGGCTTTAAGGACCTGCTGGAGAATCTCCTTTTGTTTGTCCGAGACAATTTTTGGCGCTGTTGTTGGCTGAGGTTGCTGGGAGGGAGCAGAAGATGATTGAGGCTTAGGAGTAGGGGGTGGTGCAAGGGCTGATGAGGAGGTCGAAAGAATCGCGAAGGCTGGAGTTTGTCGCGAACGGGCAGGCGGACGAGGAGAAGTGGGTTCAGAGTCTTGGGCACCACGGCCCCTTTTGCGGCCTGTCATTCTGTAAGGTATTGGGCTGGTGGCATGCAAAATGATGTTGGAGGTAAAGGAAGCATAAGAAATGAGGTGGAAAGTGTAGTCTTTGTTTCAAGGAAGAAGTTGGTGTAGCGAGGAAGGTCACAAAAAGTGGTTGGGGAGAAGCACAAGCGCGGATGTGAGGTTGGCAAAGTGGCGGGAATTTGGGTTGATGGGGGGAGGCGAAAATGCACGTCGGGGGAAGGGGGTTCGCAAATCTGTTGTTCGTGTAGCAAGAGGTAGAAACTGATGACGGCACCGTGCTGTCCACTGCTGCTCAACACAAAGCTCAAGCCGCGCCGTTGCAAGGAAGATTCCACTCTGCGCCGTGCGCTAATTGCCTGCCAGATAAGCACTAGTTTCGTATCAACGTGCGCCAACACCGACACGGTAGATCCACGATTGTAGTTTCGATCGCCTCTCGCGTCAAGGGTGTCGCGGATTGCTAGCAAGTCGTGGCTCAAATGTACGAGTATAAGAGAAGATGCAAGGTTGCTGATTTCGCCCTTTAGCGGAGAGTAGTGAGCTTAGCAGCTTTACTTGAGCGAGCAGCTTAGCGAACTACTACGAGGAGCGTACTAGCGCTTTTTACAGGTGGGGTGGGTGGGGTTATGCACCGCTTGCTCTCGCCACCCGTCACGAGCTGAACGTCGCGCCAGTGGAGCGGCCACGCACGGCGGCATGGACAGTCACACGCGACACGCACGGAGAGCCACGCCCGCGACCAGTGGAGACCGCGAGTGCGCGTGTGTGTGTGTGCGCGCGTGCGCGGCACATTCGTGCGTGAGCCCGTGAGTGTGCGTGTGGGTGTGGGCGCGCGCGCCCTAGACAGAGCACGAGAAAGGGACGCACCACGGCAGGGACGGAGGGCGGAGAGGGAGAGAGAGCGGGAGGGGCACGGGCGGGAGTGCGGGGGGGAGCAGGCGGGGCGGGGCGGGGTGCGCACCTTGCAGTGCACGACGATGATGTTGTCGTGGCAGCGGTCCAGCCAGTCCTGCGCGCTCTCGCACAGCGCCCGCACCAGCTCCAGCGCCGGCACGCCGTGGTCGTCGAACGGAAACCGCTCCACGCGCCTGCCGAAGTACGACGGGTCGTACCACTGCTCCGAGCACAGGTTGTATACCTGCCCCGCCCCGCCACGCCATGCCGTGCGCATGCCATGCCATTCCATGCCATGCCGCGCCGTGGCGTGCAATCACAACACGAAACATGCAACGAGTGCGAGGCAAGGCGTGCACGAATGACTTCGTATACTTGGTGAAGCCATAGACGAGCAGCAGATCCGCGTCCTTCACCAGACGTGCCATAAAAATATGAGCAGGGACAGTGAACCAGTCGCCACCAGTTGAACTCAATAAATGGTGCCAGGAGCAGCAAACTTGCGTCCTTCACCAGACGCGCCATAAAAAAAAAAAAAAAAAAAAAACAGGGACTTTGACATGTGTATGGTATGGAGTCCAATGAGCGGCCATAAGACAGTGCACGGGACACCAGGTCCAGGTGCACTCACTTGGTTCTTTCCTAGGAGAGGAGTGACAGATCCACACATTCAATCCTACAAGTGCACTTTACCTCAGAGCGGCATGGAGTGCAATGTTGACTCTTACTTGGTGGTGCCATAGGAGTAGAGCAGCAGGCCCGCACCCTTCACCAAGAATAAGCAAGGAGCATGGCATGTGCATGGAGGTGCAAGGACGACTCTTACTTGGTGGTGCCATAGGAGTAGAGCAGTAGGCCCGCACCCTTCACCAAGAATAAGCAAGGAGCATGGCATGTGCATGGAGGTGCAAGGACGACTCTTACTTGGTGGTGCCATAGGAGTAGAGCAGTAGGCCCGCACCCTTCACCAAGAATAAGCAAGGAGCGCGGCATGTGCATGGAGGTGCAAGGACGACTCTTACTTGGTTGTGCCATAGACGTCCTTCATCATACACACTATCATGCATAAGCAGAGACTATGGCGTATGCATGGATTGCACACATGGAGTGCAGTGAGCGTCTGTTACACAGTGCACGGGTCAGTAGGTGCACTCACTTGGTGGTGCCATAGGAGAAGAGCAGCAGGCCCGCATCTTTCACTGATCGGATAGTGGCTGAGTCAGCAAGGAGCGTCTTCACTTCGGATACCACGCCAGCTAGGCCATCTGACGTGGAGCACACGGATTGGTGGGATGATGGACAATGGTGGGTGGGTGCAATTACGTGGAGCACAATGGTTGGTGGGATGATGTGGAACAGAAGGGCTGGCGGGATGACGAGGAACGCAAGTGTTGGTGGGATGACGAGGAGCACAGGGTGGTGGGATGACGAGGAGCACAGGGTGGTGGGATGACGAGGAGCAAAGGGTGGTGGGATGAAGGACAATGGTGGTGGGTGGAATTATGCGAAGCACGTGGGTTGGTGGGTGGGATGGTGAGGAACATGAGAATCCTGCATCGCAGCCCACACACGATGCGATAAAACCGAGCATCGTGCACGATAAGACTCACGGGCTTTGCAGTGTGCCACAGCAGCTTGCACGGAGTTCATTCTCTTGTCTCAGGTGGTGATAAGGTGGTGGGTGGTGGTTGGTGGATGGTGGTTGGTGCCAAGTGCCATGGCAATCTGCACAGCGTGCATGGCAGCGTGCACAGTGTGCATGATGCGACTCACGGGCCTTGCAGTGTGCCACAGCAGCTTGCAAAAAGTTCATTCTCTCGTCACAGGTGGTGTTTGGTTGGTGGGTGGTGGCTGGTGCAGAGTGCCACGGCAGCCTGCATGGTAACGTGCAGCCTGCATGGTAACGTGCAGCCTGCATGGTAACGTGCAGCCTGCACAGTGTGTGTTGTTGGGACTCACGGGCGTTGCAGTGCGCCACAGCAGCTTGCACCGAGTTCATTCTCTCGTCACTGAAGCTGCCGCACCCCACCGTCAGAAAGAGGACCTTGAAAAGCACGGGACAGGCAGAGGTGGAGAGGAGACACACACAGGACACACGCGAGGTGGAAACAGGTGTGGTGGGATTGTATATGTAAACACACACACACACACACACACACACACACACACACACGACCATCTGCCTCACCATGCCTTGCATGTGTATTGTACATGCTTGCCCTGCCTCATCTCACCTTGTGCTTGGATTGCCTCTTCCTGAGCTACACCACAGCGTCTGGCATGAAGGAGGAAAAGAAGAGAGGCCGCGACCCGCAGTTTCGCCTTTCCATCATTTGCGAGCTTCACCACTCCCTCCCTACATCTTAAATTCGTGCCTCCTCTCCCTCGCCTCACCTGGTTCTTGAGCTCCACCACAGCATGACCTTGCACACTCCCTCCCTGCACCTTGAAACCTCCTCACCATGTGTTCACCCTCCCTCGCCTCCTCTCCCTCGCCTCACCTGGTGTTTGGATTGCCTCTTCTTGAGCTCCACGACAGCGTCTGGCATGAAGGAGGAGAAGAAGAGAGGCCGCGACCCGCAGTGCGAATCCACCACCTGTATGCATGCATACATGCATGAAGCATACAGCATGCATACATCATACCGCATGCAGCACATGGTGTGCCACATGGGGCATGCAGCAGTGCCGCATTGAATATGCAGCATACACCATACATCATACCACATACATCATGCACCATACACCATACATCATAAAACATGCAGCAATGCAGCATTGAGTGCACGACGGTAGTGCAGCAGCTGAGAGGATTGGGAACTTGATGATTTCTTGCAACACCAGCAGCGGCATCAGCTTGTTGTTGCCAACTGATGATCCAATGATGGGCTGAAAAAACACATCAAGAACACATCACTAGAAGAACACATCCCTAGAAGAACAGATCACTGGAAGACCAAATCACAGGAAATCATATTTCTAGGCAAACACGCCCTTCTTTTCAGAGAAAATCACAGGGAGCAGGGCTGAGAGGATTCTGTCGATCTCAGCAGGCCCGCCGGCATCCTTGGAGTCGTCAGCAGCGAGTTTGACCTCCACGTTGAAGCCCATGGACGGGTCAACGCGGTCAAACAGGTCAACGCCAATGGAGTACGGCTGACCGACCAACTCACAGGGAATAGGGCAGAGAGGATTGTTGAGGTGCCTCAGAGGCCAACTCACAGGGAGCAACGCTGAGGGGCCAACTCAGAGGGAAGAGGGCAGACTGACAAACTCACAGGGAGCAGGGCAGAGAGGATTCTGTCAATCTCAGCAGCCCCTCCAGCATCCTTGGAATCATCAGCAGCGAATTTGACCTCCACGTTGAACCCTATGGATGGGTCAACGCGGTCAAACAGGTCAACCAGGGTCGGCATTGCATCCTCCTCCTCTGCCCTCCACGTGTACGTGCTGCCATCCCTGCGCCTCCTGATGAGCTGCCTGCCCATCTGCCAGGATAGGGAAGGGAGAGTGGGCACGTTCGATTTGGTTAAGACCGACTAGTTCAAACACCTTCCTCCTCAACCTGACCAGGGTTTCGAGTCGACTCAAAACGCTTCTAAATTGACCTCCACGTTGAAGCCCATGGACGGGTCAACGCGGTCAAACAGGTCAACCAGGGTCGGCATGGCGTCCTCCTCCTCTGCCACCCACGTGTACGTGCTGCCGTCCCTGCGTCTCCTAATCAGCTGCCTGCCCATCTGGGTGGTTTTGAGAAGGGGAGTATGCAGAAAATAGGATGTTCACACACCGATCTCCTCCTCCTCTGCCACCCACGGGGGCATGTGCTGCTGTCCTTGCGTCTCTGCATCAGCTGCCTGCCCATCTGGAGCAACGTGCGTGCGACAGGGAGGGGAAAAGAGCAGAATACTTTCAACCACCTCCACCTCCTCCTCTTCCTCCTGCCCATGTGCCCGTGCTGCCGTCCCTTCGCCCGCCGCCTGATCAGCTGTCCGCCCATCTGCACAGGGAAGGAGGGAGGGAAGAGAGTGCGCACATTCAAACGCGGTCAGGGTTGGCATCGCATCCTCCACCTCCTCCGCCTGCCAGCGTGCCCGCCCATCAGCTCGAGGCTCACCATGTTCGGGACGAATCTATTTTTGAGTCGACTCAAAACTAGGCTCATCCTCATCCTCATCCTCGTCCTCATCCTCATCCTCATCCTCATCCTCATCCTCATCCTCATCCTCATCCTCCTCCTCCTCCTCCTCCTCCTGCCATGTGCCCACCCATCAGCTCCAGGTTCCTTCCGTTCGGGATGAATCGCGATTGCCTCCCCAGGGGACTTCCACCTACAGGGTGAGTTTTCAGTCGACTCAAAAGTCACCCTGACTTGCCAAGGGACTTAAAATGGCCCGGAAAAATAAAATGGAAGCTCTGTCGACTCCCACCCCACTCAGCAGCGTACCGCTCCAGTGTCGTCTGAGGAGTCTAAAAAAAGAGCCCACCCTCTCTCACTCGCCTTTTCCCGGGTCTGGGATGCTCCGATGGACTAGAAATCGGCGAGTGTGAGGTCGGATATCTCAAAGACCCTCACTCACTCAATGATTCAACAAGGCCCACTCTCTCTCGTTAACTGCTTGAACAAGGCCCACCCTCTCTCGCTCACCTTCCCGGGGGTCTGGGATGGACCGATGGACTGGAACTCGGCGAGTGTGAGGTCGGATATCTCAAAGACCCTCACTCACTCAATGATTGAACAAGGCCCACTCTCTCTCATTAACTGTTTGAAGAAGGCCCACCCTCTCTCGCTCACCTTTCCGGGGGTCTGGGACGGTCCGATTGCCTGGAACTCGGTGAGTGTGAGGTCGGAAATCTTGCAGTCAAGCTGCAGAGGAAGGCGGAAGTGGGTGTTGAGGGGGGAGGAGTGGGGGAGAGTGAGTGGGGATGTGTGGGGGCGGGTGGAGGGGATTGGAGGACTGGAACTCAGAGAGTGTGAGGTCGGTGATCTTGCAGTCCAGCTGCAGAGGGAAGGGGGCGGGTGGGGGAAGGGGGATCGACGAAGGGAAGGAGGGGCAGGGTGCGGGGAGTGGGATTGATGAGGGAAGGAGGGGCAGGGTGGGGGGAGTGGGATCGATGAGGGAAGGAGGGGATGAGTGGGAGAAGAGAAGAGAGTGGAACTCAGAGAGTGTGAGGTCCGAGATCTTGCAATCCAGCTGCAGGGGGAAGGGGCAGGGTGGGGGAAGGGGGTCGATGAGGGAAGGAGGGGATGAGTGGGAGAAGAGTGCGAAAGTCAGAGAGAGTGAGGTCGGAGATTTTGCTATCCAGCTGCAGGGAGGCGCGCAAATGGGTGGGGAGGGGGGCGAAGTTGGTGGTGAGTTGGCGGGGAGTTGGCGGGAGAGGGGAGGGGTGTAAAGGGAGGAGCAAGGCATCCTGCGTGACAACCTGTGAGGCCGGAGATCTTGCAGATCAGCGGCAGGGGGGCGCGCAAATGCGTGGGGAGGGAGGAGTGGGGGAGAGTGGGCATGGATGGGGGAAGGTGGAGGTGGTTGGGGGAAGAGCGTGGAACTCAGAGAGTGTGAGGTCGGAGATCTTTGCAGTCCAGCTGCAGAGGGGAGGCGGGGGGTGGGAGAGAGTGAGGGGGGGGGGAGGGTGGAAAGGGTTGGGGAGAGGAAAAATGATGAGAGATTTGAGCCGATGCAAAGGTCGCATTGGACGGCCTGATTGATTGAAACTCGGTGAGAGTGAGGCCGTCTTGCAGTCCAGCTGCAGGGTTGAACTTTGAGGGAGAAGGGGAGGGTGAAGAAGGCCGAATGGTTGGGAGTGTGGGGGAGTGAGGGGGGGTGGTTGGGAGTGGAGGAGGGGTGATAGGAGAGGGGGAAGGGCGTGCATACGTGAGAGATGAGAGATTTTGCAGTCTAGCAGCAGGAAGACGGGGGAGGAGAGGAGGAAAGCCGAGCGTGTGGGCGTGTGAAAGCGAAGATATTGCTTCTAAAGTCGCCTTAAAACTGAGATCAGAGATATCAAGTGTGACGTTATTTGCCACGCACATCTCGGAAAGATGATCTTACCCCGTCTGCAGTGAGGATGTGATTATCGTGAAAGATGACAGGGACTCCGTCCTTAGTCACCTGCACTACAGTCACATGAAACCGAAATCAAGCACGTAAGCATGAAGAACCAGGAATAGTCACTTGCCGCTCTTAACGACGGGGAGAATTGACGTAAACGATGGCATTGACCAAACACAAAGGACGTTCAGAGGATCCAGAAATCCCATAAGTATCACCGAGTTTACCTAAAATGCACCACCCTGCACCAGGCTCAGCCACCGATCACCGCTCTGCATCTCCACACAAAGGATAGGACCCACCTGAACATCGAACTCCACAAAATCTACGCCCAGTTTCGCCGCTCGGTTCATCGACAGAACCGTGTTCTCTCGAATGTCCGGCGAGGCTCTACAACCTCCCACTGCTGCAGAGGCTGTTTCTGTTCCTGAGGTGGCGACCGGGGGAGGTCGGTTCTGCCCGACGCCTCGGTGCCCGATGAACACGAGCCGCGCCTGGCCGGCTGACGTGGTCAGACCGGAGAGGGACGACATGGCTGGAGAAAGGAAATTCGGAGGAACTGTGCGAGGAGGAATGGGGAGTGGAGCACAGTGGACAAAGGGGTGGAGAACGGTGTGTGGGGATTAAGGACGGTTACTTCTCTGAGGCGACGGCTTTAAGAGTACTGCGGGACAGAAGCACCTGGAAATTATTACTTCGACGGCAGACGCGAAAATTGCTTCTAGACTTGCTTTCTAGCAATAGAAAACTAAACCATCGATTAGGCATATTCTTTCTGCTTCGGGCTGGAAAAGTTTAGGGCGGGTCCGGAAGCGATCATTTTCGGAGTTTCCGTAAATTTGGATTTCGAATCAGTTTGGATGACAGGACCTGGAGCTGTACAGATTACAGTATTTGTCAAGATGGCGAAGGTTTCCCCAACAGACTGACACAAATCGATTCTCGCATAAAAACAGTAATTTCGCTAGCGATGTAACCACACTCACACAGAACAGTTGCGCGAGCAGCCCACGCGTCACTTTTCCCGATCGCGAAACAAACGAGGTGCTTTACGACATGTTTGGGCGAATCGCTTGTAGTTACTTACGGTAGTTCTTGAACATTTTCCATCTAGCATACGTATTTGCGGGAAGATATCAGCGAGATCCCTCCGGGAACCCGCTTTTGCCCCTGCGGGATTTCCCCGGAGGGATTTCCGGTTTCCCGCCGTCGCCTAGCGAAGCACGCGAGGGGCGGGAGCCGACCCCCCCCCCCCCGCCCGAAAACGGGCGCCCCCAGCTGGCGCCAGCTGCCGATGACGCCAGCGACCCGCGCCATCGAGCTGGCAGTGGTCCCCCCCGACCTAACCCAACCCAACCCTCGGTTCGTAGACGGGTTCCGTCCGGTAACCCAACGAACCCTCGCCGGGCGTCGCCTCGCCGACGGAACCCGTCCGCGAAATCTCGCGAGCGGACGGAGGCGACGCCCATATGCGCCGCGCTCCACCGCTCTCGCCCTCGACGGGCCCGTTTCGTTGGGCGCTCGACACCGCTGACGTGTCGAACGCCCCCCCGGTTTCATTGAAAGGGGGCCTCGGAGCCAGCAGATCGTCGGGGCGCGATACCACAAACAGGCTCGAGTGGGTGAACGGCGCCACAGTCAGGCTGCATGCAGAGCGGATGCACGTGAGCACAGGTTTAGGACTAAACACGGAGCACGCAAGGCGACGGGATAGTGTCGAACTCACGTGGTCCGCAGCAGAACGAGAACCACTTGCTTGCCGAGCAGGCCGTCGAGGTGGTTGCTCGCAAAAGCGATCGGTGCGGGACGCGCCATCTCTTCGCGCGCACGCGTCGAACTCACGATCGACAGCTTAGTGAGCTGCTCGACGGACAGCAGCTCCCTTGAAAAGAGGCTGCACGGAAAGCTAAGTCAGAGTCAGAGACAGGCAAACATGGCAAACCTAAAATGCTCGACAGGGAACGAACGTACACAACGCCCGCGTTCATCATCCCCTCGTCGAGCTCCGCCTTCGGCGCCTCGGCAATCGCAATCAACTGGTCTTCGAACACCTCCACCTCGACCCCGCCTGCGGTTAGGATGAGGCCGCGTCGGACCGTCGGCTCGGTCGCGACGGGTAGGGAGGCGGGGCCCGTAGCCATGGCAGGCCTAGCAGTAGCGAGGGCGGGAGCGCAGGGAAGTTGGGAACTAGGGAGTAGGGAAGAAAAACTCTGAGAATGCAAGAAAATGAGAAAGCACTCGGGGTATTAGCTGTTTGCCATCCCCCTCCACCGAGACAGACTCGGGTGCAAGGGCGACGAGGCAGGGCGCGTTCCGCGACGGCGGGTGCTTAGCCTCATCGACATGCGTCTGGAGATGATCACGAGTTTCGATCATCTGGTAAGCCAACCCTTACCCTTACTCGTGCATGTTTTCGTCGAGCATGTTGTTCTGTCGCTTACGTCTGTTTTATACCCGTCGCAGACGACGACGCCCCTGACGGGCCCCAGTGAATCCGGCGCGGCAGCTCGTGTTGTGCATGGGGTGCGCCGGATTCTGTCGAGGTGGGACGAATTCATCCTGCAGCCTCGACAGGGCGACCTCGTGATGCTCGGGAGAACGAGCCCTGGCCCGGGTATGCTTCCGTCGTTCATGGTCAAACTGTTTTGGGACAAGATGGCCGAGGTGGCGGAGGGAGTAGGTATGGGAGAGGGTGTCGAACACGAGGGAGGAGGCGAGCGGGCGGCACGCGTCGTGGTTGAGTACAGCTACGAGGACGAGGAGGAGATCGAGGAGGATACATCGAGGCAAGCTCAGCACGGGGTGAGCGGCCCGGGCGGCCATGCGAACGAGCGCGAGGGCCCTAGCTCGGAATCGAGTTCCGGCTCGAGCTCGAGCGATGAGTCGGACGAGCACGACGGCGAGGGCGCAGGAGAACATCCAGGTGGGACGGAGCGTACGGAGGAGCACGGAGTGGCGCTCGGGGAGCGGGTGGACGAGCGGGTGAATATCGAGCAGCAAGCGACGGGGGACGATGGGGCTGTCGAGGAGCAGGAGGGCGGAGCGGCTGCGCAGGAGGGTGGGGCAGGAATGCAGCCGCAGGAGGGCGGGGCGGCTGTGCATGATTTTGGGACAGGAGTGCAGCAGCAGGTGGGCGGGGCGGCTGCGCAGGTGGGTGGGGCAGGAGGGCAGCAGCAAGAGGGCGTGGCGGTTGCGCAGGAGGGTGGGGCAGGAGTGCAGCAGCAGGAGGGCGTGGCGGCTGCGCAGGAGTGTCGTCCAGGACAGGTCGCAGTAAGATGGAGGCACCGCACGGCCAGTGGCAGCGGACAGGCGGGCCCTTCGACCGGACTCCCTTCGACGGCAGGCCAATCGACTTCGGCAGTTGCATCCGGAGGCCAGGTCGTCGAGCTACTGCAGAGGGTCGCAGAGCTCGAGGCGTCGCAGAAGAAGCTCGTCGCCGACGTATTTGCGAAGCACATTGAGCAAGCCGCTGTTTTCAACAAGCTTGCTGGGGATTTTCGGGCGGCCTGGAATACGATTTCGGAGGCGTCGAAGAGCACGCTGAAGCAGTGCGACGACGCCGTCAACGGTGTCACGGAGGAGAGGAAACTGTTGGAAGGGGCGCGCACGAAGCTCGACGAGATGAGCGGGAAAATCATGGAGGGGGTGGCAGCCGCTATCGCAAAAGCGAGCGAGGACGCCGTCGAGAAGCAGCTCAAGCTTGTCGAGGAGCGGATGGTTGCTTCGGTCGTGCAGGGTATTGAGAAAGCCGTCAAGGAGGACTTGTTCTACTCCGCCATCCCGCCCGAGAGCATGAAGGTGATGAAGGACGTTGTGAAAGAAGGCTACAAAGAAGCTGAAGCTGGCAGATTGGAAGTCCTCACCGAAGCGATGGCGAGAGGGTTTCGGGGCTCGGCGGGCCCGTCGACGAGGTCGCGTCAGGAGGAGGGGGTGGCTGGTGTTCGCAGCGGGGGTGAACGTCGAGTTCATGAGCGCTCGATTCCTCCTTCTTCTTCGGTGGGAGGACATGTCGGCAGCCCGGTAGCATCCCCACCGTCGCGTGCCCGTCATCCCGTCGGCAAGTCCGTCGAGGACAACGAGGTCATCGTACTCGACCAGTCGCCCCTTCAGAAGACCTCCGAAGCGACAGCGAAGCCTCCGCCTGATGCTTTTGCTCCGCTGCGGGACATGCTTTCGGGCCTCGGGAAAAAGGGTGAGAAAGGATTGGTTGCGGGGGAGAAAAGTGGCGGCCCTATCGAGTCCGTCGCCTCAGCCGGGAAAGGAGCCGTGGGATATCGAGGTGCCCCTACCCCGTCAGGCAGCGCTGCGGGGAAAGCAGCGGGGGAGGCATGGGGTGCTCCCAGCCAGGTCGTCGTCGCTGGTGGGTTGCTGTCGAAGACAACGGCCGACTCTGCTGCTCAGGTCGGTGTTCCTGGCCGTCCTGTCGAGCCAGTGGGAAAGAAGGCATATTTCTCTGCCCTTCCCGCGGCTCATGTCGCTGCTCCCGTCCTAGGCACCGTCCGCCTTAGCGAACCGCGTTCCCCTCCTCTTGGTCCTGCTCCTGCGTCGAAGAAAAGGCAGGCTGGGACGAAGCCGTCGAAGCGAGCTGCAGAGGCGACAGAGAGCGGTGACCCGGTGGAGATGGGCAGCCTCCTTGGCCAAGCTCCTGTCGAGACGGCGTCTACCGTCGTTGCTGCTCGACACGAGAAGGCGAAGAAGCAGAAGGTGCTCGACTACGCCCCACCTCCTCCGCCGGACGACCAGGGCAAGACGTACCGCGCCAAAGCTCCCTTCAAAGGACCAGGCATGATGGTGCGGAAGGGGAAGTTCGTTTCCGAGCAGACCGTCGGCGGGAGGAAGCGGTTCCTGGGCACTTTTGAAACGGAGGCGGACCAAAAGTTCTGTACGGCCATCTGCTGGCGCGTGTACTTCCCCGACATTGACCTTCAGAAGTACGATAAGTTCACGGCGGAGGATGAGCAGCAGTGGAAGGTCTATCTCGATGCAGCCGCTGGTATGGCCACCGGCGTTTGGAGCGTGGCGCAAGAACAAGGGGAATGTCGCTTCGAAGAGTGAGTTGTGTCGAGGTCCTGTTTTCCGTCTGTCGTAAGCGGGTTTGTTCTTTCCGTCGAAGTGATGTCGTACTTATCGTCGAATTCCGGCCGTCAGACTAACGCATTTGTTTCGATGTGCAGTTTCCAGTCGCTGCTGGCGACGGCAAATCAGGAAGTGAGAGCCGGAACCGACTGGGGAATCGCGCTGTGCGCGGCGATAGGGAAGGTGGCGACGCTTGGCACGAAGCACGGGAACCTGATTTATCCGGTCCTGAAAAACATGAACGCGACGGCGAACATGATGTCCGTCGCAGCAACTGTGGCAAGCTTGTGGGCGGCCTGCAGGAAACTGTCCAAGGAAGATATTCAGAAGGATGCCCTAGCTGCCGCAAACGCAGCGCTCTTCGCCCCGGAGACGGCGAAACGGGCTAATGTCGCTGCCATCGCCGCCCTCGTGTCCGTTATTTTGCACGTGGGCAAGATGGTCCCGGCCAAGCAGTGGCCCGATCTGCTATATTCGACGGCTGTCCAAGGCCTCGGCTCGACTGACCCCATCCTGTTGCAGATGGTGCGCGTGGCAGCACAGGTCTGTACGCAATGGTGCTGCTGTCGCTTTGCTGCCCATTTGCTGGAGGACGCGGGCTATGGGAGCCTGGCTATGCCAGAAGAAAAGAGCAAGGCGAAGCAGGGCGAGGAGGATGCTACCGAGGAGGGGACAGGGGAGTAGAGTAGCCGGGCACTTTGCTTGGGGGTTGTTGCAGGATTCGACAGATGTGTTCGTAGTTTCTAATTTGGTCGATTCGACAGTTGATGGCTTTTCATTGTTTTTGACCGTAAACCTGCTTGGCAAATCGTTGCTTGTCATTGTGTTCGACCCGAAACCTGCACGGCAAATATTTGCTTTTCATTGTTTTCGACCCTGAACATGCTCGACAGTGAACTTTAGTTGTGCTAAACTGGGTTGATGCATGGTCGACACGACAGATGTTTGCTTCCCATTGTTTTCGACCCTAAACATGTTCGACAGTGTATTCTATTTGAGCTAAACAAGGTGGAAGGGTCGAGATGGTCTCACAAAACACAGCATGGGAGCATACAAGTCTACCCTACATGAAACACATACGCTAGGATGCCCCCGCGTCACGGTTGTCCGTCGAAGTAGGCAGCGCGCCTGTTGTTCCCGTGAACTCATTCCATTTCTCCTTGCCGAACACATTCTCCGCCCACTCTGCGGTTCGGAGCTGGACACGAATGAGTTCCAGAGTGATTCTGAGGCGTTGTTTGTCCTTCCGGTTCTCCTCGGCAGACTCGAGTTTGCGCTTTTTTGTGAGCTGCCTCCCAGAATCCTCCTTGAGAACGATGCCCTCTGAAAGCATGTTGATCGAGTGGTCCTTCAGAATTGAGTCCAACTTTTCGATGACCGTCGACGTAGCCGCGCGACTGTCGTCGATCCGAAAATGCTCGACGGCCTTCATGACAGCCTCCATTTTCCGCAATTTCGTCTCGATAGCTTTTGCGGTTGGTGGCTTTTCTTTTGGCTGGGCCTCCTGTTCGGGGGTTACGGGGGGTGGAGACGGTGTGAACTTGCAGAACTTGACGGCGAAGCCCCTCTTGTAAGCCTGTCGAAGACTATGCCCGTTGTTCAGTGGGCTTGGCCCGTCCCAGTACGACCACGCCTTCCGCACGGTCTCGCAATTGCACCACGGCCACACCACCGCGTCGAAGAATGCCTGGTCAAGCTGGCTGCCCACGCTCTGTCGAGAGGGCGTCGTTTGTTGGGCTTGCTGTGGACCCGGGGTGGCTTCCTCGGTCGCCGTCAGTGGCACGCTCTCGCTCTCCCCCACAATTGCAGCTGCGCTTATCGCCGCGGTATTCTTCAGTGCGTCGAACGCTTTCTGTAGTTGCGCGAACGCCTCTGTCTTCGCCTCCAACTCAGCCTTCATCGAGCTCTTCTCCCGCTCCAATGTCTCGACCCGCTTCTCGAGGTGGTTGATCTGGATTTCCTTGTTCCCTCCCTCCTCCTTGTGGAGGTTGATCTCGGCCCGAAGTTGCGTGATGAGGTGCTTGGTGTTGAGGTGAGAGGATACGTCCTGCACACAAGAACACGTGAAGTCAGTGGGCTGATGCAAAGTCGTCGCTTATAGTTTTGGAAGGACCATCTTACCGTCGCTCTCGATATCGTGGGGTTGATCCGCATCTCGATGCCGTACTTGTCGAGCGTGTACACGTCAAGCGCCCATTTTTTGAAATCTTCGTCCTTGCACAAACCCGACATCTGGGCGTAAGGGTGACGCTCGCAGTCACAAACGCTGACCCCGTCGAACGTGTGGTCCTCACAATGGACGTAGTACATCGCAAGATCCTCTGCGATGGGCATTCGGGCGGCTAGCAGGGCCTCCAAGAAACTCTTCGCTGCGTAGTACATGTGTTCCTTGTCCTGCTCGTTGTTCCACTCCATCGCCTGAACATAAACGAACGGGGTGACATCGAGAGATGGATAGACGAGCAACAATTGCTACCGACGAAGACGGCAAGTGCGCGACAGATGCATACCTCGATGAGCCACATCTCCGCCTTAGGAAATATGTGCTCCTCAATCGCCTTCAGGACCTTCGGGGGCACTTTGGTCTTCGATCTTCCGATGTAATAGTCGCCCGGTTCCTGCGAGAAACCCGCTTGCATCTGGATGGCCGGGCGCGGGATGCCTGTGACGTATGACCTGCGCATCTCGTTCATGTCCCATTGACCCAGCTGTGCGATGGTGTCGAGGTCTAAGTTCTTGTCCGCGAGGATCTGTGCTGCAGACCGTCGAAAGATGTGTGTGACTTTCGACAGGATCCACTCCGCGCTTTTCATCGCCCATGTCACCCATTTGTTGTGCGTCGGGTACGGCATCTCTGTCTTCTCTTTGTCGAAGAGGGCGAAGAACAGGTGTTTCTTCGACCACGCCTCCGGGTTTGAAAAATCCAAGGGGGGCACGATTTTATCGTTGTTGTAGAATAGCGGCACGAGGTCGAAAATGAAGTGTAGCCAGAGGAAAACTGCTCCAAATCCGCACTGCTGGAAGTCCATGTGTTGAGTAAGGTACAGGTGGCCGAGTTTGTTGTCTTTGACGGTCTTCGAATTGCGATAGGCGACCACGAGAACGAGGATCGACGATTCCCCCTTGCTGTTCGTGATGGGCAGAAGGGTGTGAGTGAACATGTTGCAGTAGCGGATCGTACGGATGCTGATCCCCCTGCCCAGCATGTGATGCGCCATCAGAATCATCACCCTCACAGCCAAGGCCTTCCACAGCGACAGACTGGGGTACGACATCGACGACTCGAAGTACACCTTGGCCCAGTGCGGCAGGATGTCTGAAACGAGAATGCGGAATTGCTCCTCCGAGTAGACATCGTCGAGCGAGCCACGGTGTGGGTCGACGCACCTCCTGCATAGAGTGGGCAGATACAGCGATTCATAAGTGAGATAAGTGAGAAAGTGAGTGAGAAGTTGTAGCCGACGGGGTAGGGAAGCGTACTTACTCGAACTGAAAGTCGTGCAGCTGTCGCAGCTTGACCGCTAGTAGCTGCCTAGCCTCGGTGATGTCGTCCAAGGGTTTTGTGAGTGGTTCGTCGAAGAGTATGGCCTCTACTCTGCACAAGCACGCTAGCGCAGTTAGGCGCGCCAGCATCATCGGTGGTGTGCATTTTTTCGGCTTCCGTCCCGCTACCCTGGTCCGCCCGGTATCCAAGGAAGCCGCCTGTTCGTCCGTTTCCGTCGACATGTAATCGACGTAAGCCCGCAAGCGCCATTTCGACGTACAAGGCCCATGCAGGTGCTCCTCGTTAAGGAGCGCCGCCCTCCACCCCGTCCCTAAATCATTGCCGATCTCTCTCCCAACCTCATCCTCGTTGACCACCTGCTCCTCGACAGGCACTCCTTTGCATTTTCCGGCCGCCAGAGTGAGACAGGCCCAAGCCTTGAAATGCATGAAGCCAGACACGTAGTTTGGCCGAGTGGAATCCTGGTCGATTCCCAACAGCGGAAGCTCACAACGGTGAATCGCACTTTTCAGTGTTCCCGTCGCCAAGTACGGATTTTCTTCGCCCAGGTCGTCACCGAGAATGTGCGCTGCATCCTCTTCTGATATATTTGTCGCGGCAGGGCGCAAAGGGTCCACCTCTTCGACATCTTCCTCCTCGGGCTGTTCTCCCGGCTCATCGTCGCGCTCATTTGTCTCAGCAGGAGGGACGTGGCTGGCTAAGTCCGCTTTGCTGGGTCTTTTCGATGAGCGCATAGGCGCAGCGGGAGTGGCTCGCGAAGCGGATGTTCTGGCTGGTGGTGGTGGCCTAACCTCATCCGGAACACCCGTACCCCTTCTCCTACGTCGCCCACCTGTCGAGCTCGGGACAGCAGCTACTGATTCGGTAGGTGTCGCACGGATTGGTGCCGATGATGATGACGGCTGGTTTGTCGCTTCCGCTGTTGAGGGAGTGGTCGTTGTCGAAATCGGCTCTACCACAACAGGTATGGATTGCGCCGTCGAAGGGACTTCGGTCGGTGCCCCCCCCACTTCGACATTGACTGCCCTGCCCGTCGAGCGTTGGTCCGTCGCAACCGGCTGAACCACCACCGGTATGGCTTGTGACGTCGAGTGTGGAGCTGTCGAGGCCGGTATGGCTCCTGACGTCGAGGGTGGAGCTGTCGAGCCCGGTATGGCTCCTGACGTCGAGGGTGGAGCTTGTTAGAATCCAGAATAGAACGAGAATGCATGAAACTAGGTAGGAGGGGGATACAAGTAGGAAACCCTAACAAAGCTATACCCCCTAAGGCTAAACCCACTATAGCCTACACAATATAAACATATAATGTTTGACACACCCCCATAGGCTAAGTGGGAGACAACCAGATGGTCACAAGACCAGTCAAAGCAAAGCAAAGCAAGCTCAGGGTGGATCTCAAGGAAACCACACAAATTCTGAGCACAAGCAAGTGGTCACAAGACCAGTTCACATGCAGGTTGATAGTATAACAAGAGATACAGTGATCACAACCTAGCAAGAGTAAACAAGCAGGTATATATACAGAGATCACAGTACAAGCAGAGTCAAGAAGTAAGCAAGTGAGGCCCAGTAGGCACGAGGCCTAGAACAGTACAGAAGCGCTGATGGTCACAAGGCTGAAGCGCCTTGGTGAACACATCAGCAGTGTTGGCCCGAGTGGCCACGTAACGCAGACGAAGCTGACCGCGCTGCTGCAGCTCTCGAGCAAGGAAGTAGCGCAGAGCGATATGCTTCGTTCTGTGCTCCAGTCTGTGCTCCTCACACAAGGCAATGGCAGCCTTGTTGTCGACGTACAGCACTGGAGGAGAACGAGGCCGCTCTCCCAAGTCGGTCAGCAGGTAGGTGAGCCAGCGTAACTCCTGTGCAGCCATGGCCCCTGCGTAGATCTCAGCCTCACAACTGGAGCTGAGCACAGAAGAAGAGCGGGTAGACCGCCAAGAAACAGAGCCGGAGCCAAGACTGAAGGTGTAACCCTGTGACGACCGCTGAGTAGCCAAGTCGTCAGCCCAAGACGCGTCTGAGTGCCCAGTGAGTACAACTCGGTCTCGTCCTCCAAGCACTAGCCCCATGCCCGACGTACTGCACAAGTAGCGCAACACCCTCTTAGCGGCATCCATGTGCTCCTTCCGGTGACGGCCAGGAGCGACATAGCGTGCAAGGATGCTAAGAGGGTATGCAAGGTCAGGTCGAGTGCAGGTCATCAGGTACATGAGGCAGACCACAAGCTCTGGATACGGGCCACTCGGCTCTACGGACTCATCCGAAGGCAGAGCTGAGAGCGAGTGACCGGTAGGCAGAGGAGTGGGCTGAGGCGAGGAGTACGTGAAGCGGAAGCGCTGAAGGACCTGCTGCACCATGTGTGACTGAGTCAAGGTGATGGTACGCCGTGCTCTGTCCCGGGTGATCCGCAAGCCAAGATAGCTTGTCAGTTCACCCAGGTCTGTGCACGTGTGTCTCTTCTGCAGCTCCGACTTCACGTGGGCGAGTGCCGCAGTGTCAGCAGTGGCAAAGACCAAGTCGTCGACGTACACGAGGATGTAGAACGGCGGCAGCGAGGTGTCAGTGCGTAGAAACAGCGACGGGTCAGCAGTAGAAGGAGCGAACCCAAGAGCCGCAAGTGTAGTCCTCAGTGTGTCGTGCCACTCACGTGGCGCCTGTCGGAGACCGTAGACTGGCCACCGGAGGCTCCACTGGGTACCAGGAGGGAACGACCCAGTGAAGCCAGGTGGGCGGCGCAGCCAGATCTCCTCGTGCAGGCTGCCCTGTAGGAAAGCAGTGCTGAAGTCAAGAGAGTGGAGCTCGTAGTCACGCTGAGCGGCGACGTGCAGCAGAACCCGAAGAGTGGTCATCTTCGGGGTCGGGGAGAAGGTCTGGAAGAAGTCAACTCCCTCTCGCTGACTGAAGCCTCGTGCAACGTAACGCGCCTTGAAGACAGGCGGAGAACCCGGCGGCCGCTTCACCCTGAAAATCCACATGCCACTGACGATGTTCGCCCCAGGTGGGGGAACCTCGTCGACGTAGGTGCCTGTGGACTTCCAGGAAGCCATCTCTGCGTCCATGGCTGTCTGCCACTGAGAGGAGTAGGGACCCTCTATCGCCTCTGCGTAAGAGCGCGGAGTCGGGATGTCTGGTGCATCCGGGTCTCCCTCAGGGGCAACTAGCATGGACACGAGATGAGGTAAAGCAGCGGCAAAGCACTCAAACTCCTCTTGCCTGTCCTCAAGGACGTCCGTGCCAAGAGCACACTCACCCCCGACGGACGGAGGACAGACAGACTCAGACTTAGCAACTAGGCTAGCGGCGTAGTCTAGACGACAAGTGGCAGCAAAGTCGACAAGCTCGGCAACTAAGGCAGACGCAGCAGTGGACTCAAAGGAAGCGTCAGTGACAACAGTAGCCAGGAGACGCGTGACAGTAGGACTGGCAGCACGAAGGGAGTCAGACTCAGGGTCAGCAAGAGCAGGAAGAGAGGACGCAGGAGGAGACGGGAGAGGGACACGCTGGGGAGCAGTGGAAGGACGAAGCGCCATCTGGTGAGTGCCTGGGACAGCAGGAGGACGCTGACGCGGGACACGACGACCAGTGTGAGCAGCACGAACAGGCGACGCTCGACGAGACTCAGGCGACGCAGGACGAGACTCAGGCTCACGACGCTCCGTAAGACCTCCAGTCGGACCAGTGTAAGGAGAAGGACCAGGGAGAGGGGAGTCAGACGGTAACTGTGACTGCGACTGGACAGACGGAGGACACTCTAAGGAGGGAGGAGGACAAGGAGGAGGAGGCTGACCAAGAACCTGCTGAAGGAGCGGAACGAAGTACGGCCGCGGCCGCGCAGCGTCTCCAGAACCAGCAGAGACACCAGCGCCAGGGTCCTCAGCACCAGCAGCAGCTCCACCTCCAGGGTCCGCAGCACCAGCAGCAGCTCCGACTCCAGGGTCCGCAGCACCAGCAGCGACTCCAACGCCCGGAGCCGCAGCACCAGCCGCACCTCCAGAAGAAGCAGCACCTCCAGCAGCTCCAGCAGCCCCAGCACCAGCAGCACCTCCAGCAGCTCCAGCAGCACCAGCAGTACCACCAGCACCAGCAGCACCTCCAGTAGCGTCAGCAGCACCAGCAGCTCCAGCACCAGCAGTACCTCCAGCAGCGCCAGAAGCACCGCCAGCAGCAGAACCTCCAGCAGCTGGGTCCGCGACACTAGGAGCGCCACTCCGAAGACTGCAGCGCCGTGCGTACCACTCTCGGAGCCGCTGGGGAGAGGGCAGCTCCCGCCTAGGAGGGGAAGCACTAGCACCAGCTCCAGCAGTACTCCTGGCTCCAGAAGCACCTCTCCTAAGGCTGCAGTACTGTAAGTACCACTCACGCAGCTGCTGTGAGGAGAGAGCTCCTCCAGGTGTAGCACTCCCAGGCTCAGCACCTCCAGACTCAGCACCCCCAGACTCAGCACCCGCAGGCTCAGCACCCCCAGGCTCCGCACCCCCAGGCTCAGCACCCCCAGACTCCGCAACCCCAGGCTCCGCACCCCCAGACTCCGCAACCCCAGGCTCCGCACCCCCAGGCTCCGCACCCCCAGGCTCCGCACGCTCAGGCTCAGCACCCTCAGGCTCAGCACCCCTAGCAGGACGAGAGTCGACAGCTACCTCGACAGGCTCAACCGGGTCTACCTGGGACACACCTGAGGGAGCGGCACCCTGAGGGGGGAGGGGGTCTACCACAGCAGCACCTGGCGCGAGGAAGAGAGGCGGGGGGGGAAGCGGGGCAGTGCGGTAGGGGAAGAGGCGGTAGTAGGGGACGGACTCGTCGAAAGTGACGTCCTGAGAAGGCAGGACACGGCGCGAGGTGGGGTGGTAAAACTGCCAACCAGACGCATCCGGGACAAAGCCAAGGAAGACACAAGGAACAGCGCGGGAGGAGAGCTTGTCCGCGGACGTATCGCGAACAAAGGCTCGAGATCCCCAGACCCGAAAGCGTGACGCATCGCCAACCTCTCCTGTCCAACGCAGTGTCGGCGAAGTCTCCGGAACGGAGACACGGGGCCAGAGGTTGAGCTGATGCGCAGCGTATCGGACTGCAAACGGCCACAGAAAGTGGGGGGCAGCCGCATGGATCAAGGAGGTACGAGCGACCTCCATGACCAAGCCAATGCGGCGCTCAGCAACCCCATTCTGCTGTGGAGAGGCCGGAAGCGTGAACGACTGGCGGATGCCGTGCTCCGCACAGTAGGCTGCCAAGAGGTCGGAGGAGAACTCACCACCTCTGTCAGAGTGCAAGCGCAGGACAGGAAAGTCCGAGTGGAAACGCTCGCTGAGCTGGAGACGAGAAGCGCTGATCCAAGGGATCAAAACATCAGGGACCTCACCCTTGGTGCGCAAGGGGAAGACCGTGGTGTAGCGCGAGTAGTCGTCAACAACTATCAGGAAGTACCACTCCTGACCCTGACCACGGACGCGGGCTGGGCCCCACACGTCCATGTGGAGCGTCTGCAAGGGAGCAGTCGTCGGGGGAAACGAGGAGGAGTGAGGAGCGGCGCGCTGCCGCCCCTCGACACAGGGAAGACAGGGAGGAGCAGGCGAGGGTGGGAGGGGAGGGAGAACCCTGGGAAGACCAGAGACAAGGTACCGTTTGTGCATGGCACGAAGGCGCTGCACGGACGGGTGACCAAGTCGGTGGTGCCAGAGGACGGTCTCGTGCGCCAGAGAGTGACACGAGCAGGGGGCCGACAGCTGACTTGACGCAG